GCAATTTATTGACTGAACTGAGCTTGAATTAATCTGCTTTACCAATTGTTGGCAAAATAAATTTCTGATGTTTGCTGTCCTTCTCCATGTCTATGTGATCCTCAGTTTGGAGTTTGAAATTATTGGAACTTAAACAATCAAAGCATCAATTTCCCACAAAGATATGAGAAATCATCTTCTCCAACAGAAAGTAATCTTTCATGCTTTGAGATGAAATGCACTTCTGGTTTCAGAAGATTGAACCAGTATATCCCCACTAAGAACTAAAGATCAAATATGACACCAAATTCTGACGATACTGATAATGGAACAAAGGATATTTTTTTTCTGCAATGTGTCAGGCAGTCTATGGGAGAAAGGGAATCAGTGAGTTTATTTTACTGTAGAGCAGCTCCACTCACCGTCTGATAAAACAGGTTCAGTTAATCTGCACGTGTAGATTATTATTAGTGTATTAAATTTAAATTATGGAGTCAAGTCTCCATTTAAATAAGATATTATACCACCAGCACAACAGCAGAACCTAATAAAGCAAGGCCAAACCACTAACAAGACTACTCAGAGGTATTACTTGGCTGAGCAACTTTAAGACAGCTTCTATTAGGTCCGTTTATTGTTTGCCTGAGATAAGAATTCACTCATAGCCTGCATTACTCAAAAGCTTTACTGGTTCTTTCTGTCTAGCTGTCCTCACAGTCGCCAGCCATACACACAGGAACTCCGAGATGAAGAGAGAAGAAACTGGCACAAACTTCATGTTGCTTTTATCCATCTCTGCAGGTTAATCAAAACACCCTAAATGATGGGATTTAGAAAGAAATTGTTTTGCACAGGTAAGCTTACTTATATACCTGAAGGACAATTTCCAGTATTTTCTCCCTCCTTGAACCGCACCACTCAATTTTTCTCCATTGATCTTGAAAGCAATGTCTTAACTATTCACAATTCATATTTTATAAGAAATTTATTTTAGAACATTAACAGAATTTCTTTCACCCAAGCTTTCACCCAAGATCCAGAGCCTGTAATTTGCCACTCTGACAAGCTCTGCGGATGGAATAACACTACAGATTATCATCATTGAAGAAAGAACAACAGGTTGTTTGCACAATGCCCAGAATTATGCATCGCATGGTACTGTGTATGTAACAAAATGCAACCATCCAAAATTACATGTAAATTGATAAATAGTGGCTGATATTATCCATCTCGCTCTTTGATTTTTCAAAGGAGCTGCACACAAACAAAAAAGCGACGCGTTACTCAAAGTGGGTGCTTAACAATATGGATATCAGGTGCTTCTTCCACTTGATGTTTAACATCAAACACTCCCAACCTACAATAGCAACCGTAAGTGGCTTTTGTAGCCTATCTGTATTGCATATTCTACTCAGACTGCAGGGATTCATGACTTTCCAATCAAGAATTCCTGAACTAAGCCCAAGATTGATTGTTAGTCCCTCCACTCCACTAAATACTCAGAGAAAATTAGTGTAAAATATGTGTAAATGCATATCTCCAGAGATTTACAGGGTGCACTTAATTAACCAATGGCCTACCGCTTTTTTTTGGTTATTCAATCCTAAGAATGCCAGTACTCTCTGTGTGCACATGTTTACACATGGGAGATAACACACATGTTTATACATGGTTCACACATGGGGTATAAAGACCTCCATATACTCTGTCATCAATTTAATACCGCAGGAAAAGTTATTTTTATGTTTCGGTGGGACAGTCACAATCAAGCATATGTTAAGTATGGGCACTTAACAATATTAGTCAACTGCGTTGTGAGCAACAGTTTCCCTCTTTTAATGTCAAAGTATTAGACAACAAATAAATTATAAAGTTAAGTTAGTAAACCTGTTATGGATCAAGCATAGATAGTCATCTCCAGGTTTCAGTGTAAAATAAAAAAGGAGGATAATTTCACCAACTCCAAGAATATCTTGGAAAGATTCTCTAGGAGTAAGAAAGCCTCGCTAAATCATGAGTACCACAGAACAATTATAATCGCATGGTTCTCTAACACTATTCCACACTCCCGAACTGACTTCAGTACTTTTCCCCTCATATAATCAGCAGTTAATAATAATAATAATAATAATAATAATCCTTGCTTTTAATCGAGACGTCTTAAAGAGCTTCACAGGATATCTTGTAAAGTGGATTGACTGTATTTTGTGGGTGAAATGCTAAGGTGCTAAGGTCATGACTCATGACATTGAAACTTCCAGAGCTGGGAAAGCAAACATCAAAAATGAAATTAAATAACTCTTTGTTGGATTCTAATTCTCTCAATTAACTGAACAATATGCAAAAGTCTACCTTGGAAGTACAGGACAACCCCATCAAAAGGGCATAGTGTGGGGTCATGAAGTCACTGAGCGCTCCATCAGTGACATCACTGTGCATACATGCAGAAGGTTGGCCATCTAATCTCATGTCCTATTGCTCCATCGGGATTTGGAGCCCAACGACACAATGTGAAAACCCGTGACGCAATTTAAAGCATGACAACAGAACTGGAAACGTGGCTCACAATCCTCTTCTAGACGTCTCAAATCGCTTCACTGTAAAGTGAATTGACTGTATTTTTGTGGGCGAAATGTGGCAGCCAATTGCACACAGCAGTGTCCCACAAACAGTCGTGGATTGAAATGACCAATTTGTTAAGATCAAGACATTCGCTCACTAACCAACAAGTCCTCACAATCTGTGACCTCACCGTCGAGGAAAACATTGACATCCTCGCCCTCACCGATTATTATTTCTTATTTAATATTATTTATTATTTAATGTTATTTAATATTTAATCATTTAATATTTAATTATTTAATATTATTTAATTATTATTAATTATTTAATTATTATTATAAACTGCAAACTGCATAGAAATGACTGAAAGCGAAACTTAAACTGTTGCCTCTAACAGCGACCTGCTGAATCTAAATCACCTCTCCCAGCTAGAATATAACCAGACACTTGTATCCAATAAAACAGAACTTGCTAAAAGCTAAGATTTTATGAAGGTGCTGATACAGGAGGAAAATTCACTTGGAGAAAATAAGGTTAAAGCTATTATCAACACCATTAAATTAAATGAACAATCTGTATTCTACAACCCAGCAGAAATTAATGCAGCCTTGGCTTCTTCCAACACTAAAACAAAACTTCTCTAAATGCCACGCAACTAACACCACCAGAGATCTATTCTTATCAAAAACTAATTTATTTAAGCGCTCCCCTGATGTTCAAGGCTGTAATGAGTTCTTGATCACCTTGGAGGAAATTACCAATGTAATCTCTATTATACTCTGAGACATATCAATTGGACCTGGATGACTTTCTGCACCTTGAGTTCTATTTTGAGAGTCCTAAAGGCATACTCTTGTAAGGTTCTCACAAAGCCTCTGGCATTTGCTGTAGTAAAGGGCTCTAAGGCTCATTTGATTTAAAATAATTTGCTGCCTGTCCTGGATTATTTCTCCCCCCTCCCCCCCCACGCACTACTTCCCCTCCCCACCATACCCATGCTCATGTAAAACTGTTCAAAATGGTAGAAAATAAAGATCAAAAACTCATACATTATAGCATTGTTTGAAACTAAAAATCCACTGCCTTCACATATGGGAAATCTTAGGGAATCCTAGCAAAACACTTGTTGTTGGAGGTTAGGATGGTTATGGGGGACAATGGGCACTTTTATGCAAGTGCAAATTCAGTGATCCATTTGTGTTTGCATTTGTGGATAGCCTGCATTAAATGGAACTGGAATACCAGTTATGTTTATTCCAGGAATACCCAGCCTAGTTCGGTATACATTTAGTTGGTGATGAGCTACGTTGGAAATGGGAACTTAATTGTTCGGCGTCTTCCACATTTGGATTGCATTTGCAGCTACAGGTGAGATGTAAGCAAGACAGCCCACTCAAACAAATCGTACTTCAATAGTTTTCTAGGGATAGAGATTTCCTTTATCAATCTCTGCCGCACACTAATGATCAAATAATAGTCAATGTACTGATAAACCATTGCTGTATTTAAAGTATAAATATCTGAATGACTGTTGACATCAAAATACCAACATCCAGGGAGCTGGGAGGTTCTGAAATAGGTCTGCACCCCCCAAAAAAAAAAACAATGAACTGCACAATTATGAGATAACTCTACATTGCTGAATTTGGTGTAAATTCACTGAAGATTTCTTAGGTTGCTGACATGACACAGAAAAACAAATCATAATACACAATATGGTGACACTACTGGATGAAAACTTAACCTTAAAAGCACACTAGATTGCACTATTTTAAACAAATAGCTTGTCTGATTGATAAACTCAATAAACGTACCTCCTAGTTTTATGTAAGGGTGGCAGTCAGGTAGGTGAGGAAACAAAAGTAAAAAAAAAAGGAGTCAGTGAGTGAGGGTGATAATAGACTCTAATTTTACTAAGATCAGTTTTTCTTTTTAAAGTTTCTGCAAGGTCCATGGCAGCATGTCTACATTCTTGTTTACAAGCATGTCAAGGTACAAAACATCATGTCTCATTTACAAGTATGTTACTACTTATTGCAGTAAATGTTACTTGGGACCACAGTGTCATAACCCCCAAAATAAGAATCAATGTTTTATCCCTCAAGATCATCACTCAAGAAAACTGTCTATGCTATGCCTTTAACACACCGCCTCCACCCATTTAAAAGGAATATTGCCCTTTTGTTTAAGTAAACCTCCTTCCTTATTAGCAACTGTAGTAATATTAAACTTGTCATGGCTTTCAGGAATGTTACATGTTTGGGACAAAAAGCTTGAACTCTGTAAGATAAATAATGTTTAACAGCAGCTAAAAGCAGTTCTACCCAGAACTCCCATGTGTAGAGGATGCAAAGTGGAAGGTGTGGTCAATGACGGGGGCTTAAATGGTGCAATAGCTTTACATACCAATTTAAAGCTGAAGCCAATAAACATTATTTTCTTACAATATTAATACTTACATTCTGAGCAAGCCCTTGTAAAATGGTCTCGTGAAAAAGGCATCCAGCAGATACTGGTGGATAAGAGCAAGGCCAAGGATTCGACCACTGAATCTGAACCTGAAACAACAGTACATATAGAGTTTTCACTTTCTTTAAAAAAGATAACAAGGCAAACTATATGACACCAAATTTTGTTACAATTATAATGTCTGTTCATAGACATTTTTCAGGCAGTCAAAAACGGAAAGTGTATTCCTGGTTCATATTAACTGGAACAATACGATCTCAAACTCATGGTAGAAAGCTGACTCTCACTACCTAATTTTACATAGATTTACATCAAATTTACAGGACGGAAACAGGCCATTTGACCCAATACAGTCCGTGCCAGCATTTATACTGTACTAATCAACTAATGGATGGCTCGAGTCGTTAATCAATATAGCAAAATATTTTAGTAATTGTAAGTGTTGTTGTAATTTGGAAGATATATGAGAGAAGGGGGAAAGGAGTTTTGCTATGATAGTTTCCCCAAGTCACTGGTTAAGTATCTGATGTTGTCAGATAAGATGTCCGACACCATTTCTGCTACAATGTTCCTCCAGTAATACCATCAGAGAACTCCTAAGTGAACCAATGTGTTGTTTCACAATGAGTTCCAAAGGAGACGTTTCGCAAAAATTGCTTTGAGAACCACAGACTTTGCAAACTTTACAGGGCAAGTCATCTTTTGATTGATATCATCACACAGATATTTGTCAGCAAATCAAAATACTCCATTCAGCCCCCAATTTAATGCTATTTTTGGAGTTGTTTCATTTATTACGGGTGATATATAGAAGGCATGAAGGGCAACTGGTATTCTTCATGTCCCTTTCATATTTGTCTCAAAAGCTTTTCAACCTGCAGAATTTCTCTTCCCGGAGTGCTGATTCTGCTCCCAAATTGTCGTAAAAGCTTCTGACAAACAAAACAATCATGGCTGTAAAAAGCAAGAAAATTATCTGAGAGAAAGATTAGAAAGAACATAAAACAATCTGTGCAATTCTGTCTCACAATAGATGTTCAAATGAGGAAACCAATTTGAGCAAGATTTTGAGCTCACAGTCTGGGCTGATATACACAGAGCAGTACTGGGGATTTGTTGGCCAGGACACTGTGCGAAATTCCCTTCTGTTTTCGAATATTGCCATGTCCTTGTGAACAGGCAGACAGGAACTCGGTTTAACATCTCATCCGAGGATGGCACCTCCAACAATGCAACAACCCCCAGCACTGCATTAAAGTGTCCTCTTAGAGACGATGATATTCCAAGTCCCACTGTGGGACTTGAACCCATAACCTTCTGACTCAGTGGTAAGAGTGCTACCACTGAGCCAGGCTGACACACTATGGACATAATCCAACTTGCGTTTGTAATGTAATAATATATATTTTATAACAAGTTATATAGTTTCATGCCTGTCACATGGAGTCAGTGTCCATTCATTTTTAAAGGAATTGCATGCAAGACTATTTTGTGTGCCTAGAATATAAAAGGCATAACCAAATCTTGCTGAAAGACTGCGCATTTTAGCTCTCCTAATCATTCACAACTCACTTTTGTCGTGCTCAAGAAATTCTGGCTTTCAACCAAAAATGCCACATTGATATTCATTTATTCGTAGAACTCATGCATTCTTTTCAGACACGAATTGTATAAACCTGAGGGAGTAAGGAATAATAACTTCTATTTGAAATGTCTTTCCTTTATCTTTAAGAAGGTTCATTCTGCCTCTTATTGTAGCAAAAGCAAGTAACTGCACCTCTCAATTAAGTCTTGCGAGTGCCTCAATAAAATCCTAGGGATGGAGTTTGAGCCCTTATTACATTTTGTTTAAGATTCTTCCTCTTGGAATGCTTTGATAAAGTGAAAGCACACACAGTATTGTAGTGTGCAAGTGCCATCTGGTGGGAATAACCAGTGTTTGCAGCCACTCTATTATCGGAAAGGTACAGGGTTTGTGTTTCTTTATTACAGAGACCAGCAATGATTGACTTGTTTTGACTTGTCTGTTTGAAAGTAGGTCCTGCAGACTTGAGAATAAAAAGAAATTTCCCATTTGTCTGTTTTTATATTTTCTTAACGAACCCAAGGCTAGACTGCTTATACCTTCAGTCAATCATGTTGTTATTTTTGAAAGATCTATGAAGAAAATTATTCCTCTCTCCCCACACACCCCACCCCACCCCCTCCATTACTCAAAATGATTAACCGTGTATTTAACTAGTTCAGGATAATGTTGTAAATGTAAAGATACCTCAATCACTATGCTCATTTCATGCAATACTTTTAGCAGAACATAACTATTTTCTGAATTCATCACAGAGGCAATATTCAATATCCTTTGAATTACCAGGTTACATTTTTTGCAATGTTTAAACAATTGCCACCTCATAGTTTCAGAAATGGCTCAAGAACAAACCAAGAAAGAATGTAGAAGAAAAAATGTTCTTACCATTCGTGGTGGTTGTCTACAAATGCAGACATGGGACTAATTTGGACTGTGTAAGTGTCATTAGCAGAATATTCAAACAAGCCGTAATATGGATTGAAGAGTTCTCTGGACACTAAGAAAAAGAACTCCCTCGAAGGGCCACTGTAATCCAACCTAGAAGAGAAAATAGGAATTTGTCTGTGGGTTGCATCAGCAGATCACTGCTGAATTGTTAAACACTGACTGAACATCACTAATGAGACAATTCCTTTCCTCGTGGCAAATGTGTTTCATCACTATACTTATCCAGCTGTTTGTTTCTCTTGCAAAGTATTCCATGCATGATCACCTATTTCTTATTTACAAGACCAGAGGCCTGAAATATCTTATAGCCTTTGAACACTGTCTCTAAATTGTTATCATGCTGACTCTTGGAAAATTCTTAAATTCAGGCTCAATTTAATTTTTAATCCATTTTTCCACACTTCTTTTTAAGTGTGAAGTTTCCTCCAACCAATCCTTAGGATAGCATTCTTGTTAAATTACGGATTTGGCACCAATTGAATTGGGGTCAGTTCTGTAAAAATCAATTCAATTGTGAATATTCCGCTACATGATTAAACCACAATTATAGTGAGGTGGTAAATGAGCAGAAAGTGTTGAAGTCACAGGATGGGACATGAGAATATTAAATTCACTGACCGAAGAGAGCAGCAAGTAATAGAAGGGAAACAGGCGTTGGTTTTGAAATTGTACAAGACAGAGGGATGTGACTAATCATCAGCAAAGCTCAGCTTGTGATGTCCCAGTGGAGAGCAGTTGTCATCAAACCTGGTCCCAAATCATTACTCTTTGCCACCAATCTCATACTCTCAGCAACGATAACATAAGCTTCAGAGAAGTACTCTTCAGTTATTTAGTTATTTCCTTGCCATCCGTTCAGCATTTCCTGACCAAGAAGACAGATCGCCTTCCTAAGTGGTTGTGCCAATGCCTCTTTTGAATGAGGTACAAAAGCTTCCTATCTGAATTCCCTCCCATTCAATGGGATATACACACGCCAACGCCATGTGGAGCCATGGAGTCTTGTCCTATGGAGCATTGTGGATACAGCTCATGGCACAGACCAGCCCATTGTTACTGCATGCACTAGAAACACCACTCTGTCAAACGGGGTTTAGGTTGCAGGGGGGCTGGGTTGGGGGGGGTTGGGGGAACGACGACTGCTGCTTAAGCATTGCATGCATCAATTTTGAACCTAGCCCAGCTCATATTGCAGCTATTTGTTTGGGCTGCTCTCAATGCTTCAGTGCAACAATGTAATCCAAGAGCCACAAATTTTCAAAACAAATAATGGAGACTATCTTGTATTCATCATGGTCATTGCCAATCTTTTGTGTCAGTCTGGGCTTCCAGTTTAACAGGAAAGTCAAGCATAGCAGATCTGTCATGCATTCCTTTTCCTATGGAGTGTAATGTATTCTAGAAACAAGCTGGGGTTTCACCAGTATCTGTGGGTGTAAGGCTCGTGTATGGCTTGTTATACAGTACTGTATTGAGACAATGGATATATGAAGAATGGCCATTCTACAATCAACCTCAAACATTGGATCCTTCATGATAGAGAATTACAGGATCTCTAACAGGGCAACCAGCTTTAATTAACCTGTAATCTTTGACTATGTGTGGACCATATATACACACACACACACACATGTGCAAGAAAAGTATCAGTCTACTCACCCTTCCTCCCCAACAAATGTGACATAAAGCTTATGTCTTTGAAGATCTTTTCTGGAACAACCCATAATTTGGTTGAAGGCGTCCTCAAGTAAGTGATCTCTTCTAATGATCAGCCTGCAATACAACAAAATGATCCTAGACTTTAAAAAGGCCAGATCACTCCACATTGGCCCATCATTCTACACAGCACGTCATGAAAGAAGAATGGTGGAGCAGGATAGTCCTGTGCCATTGAGGAGGCATAGGATGAAAGCTTATAACCGTGATTCTCCACTAAGTCTTAGCTGTGTCATTCTTAAGAAAGGATAAAATGAAGATCAGGTAGTTCCCTACAAGGATGAAAGAACATCTGGAGGGAGAGGATTCACCTTGGACCTGTCCCATCCACCCCAATATCTGTGAATCTCTAGGAGCAATATACAATTCCAGCACCTTGGAACTTCCTCCCAACATGAAAGGCCCTCTACAAATGTAATTTTACATTGTATTGTACAACTCCCTCCTTTTTCATGGGAGACAGTGCTTGGTAGAGACCCTAGAAAGTGAACAGAATGAAAATGAGGGAGTTTCACTGGCTCGCCTCTAAGTCAGAAGGTTGTGGTTTCAAGCACCTTGTCGGAACTCAGTCTAGGATGAGACATTTAATCAAGGTCTTTTATGACTGGTCAGGTGGATGTTAAACATCCCACGTCAATGATGTATTCAAAAAGAGAAGGGAGATTCTTCCAGATGCCAATAATTCCCCAAATAATAAAATAGGTAATTCACGCCATGGCTGCTTGTGGGACATTGCTGTGCCTAGACTGGTTGCCACATTCATAAATAGTCACTATTTACAAATATGATAATATTTTCATGTCTTCCAGATGTCTCAGAATGTGCTGTAAAGTGCATGACTGTACATTTGTGGGCGAAAAGCAGCAGTCAATTGGGCACAGCAGTGTCCCAGAAACAGTCGTGGATAAGGCACTGCATCAAGTCCAATGGTTATTTTTAATTATTTTATCGCAGTCACAGTTCCGAAATGACCTACTGCAACGTTTCCCATCTCTATTGAATCTCTGAACTATTGCATCACAAAGTAAAGTTCATTAAACATTGATCATCAGCAATAATCAGTATGCAAGCTCAACAACAACAACAACAACAAGATTTCATTTATAGAGCGCCTTTGACGTCGGGAGGACGTCCCAAGGAGCTGGACAGTTGGGTCGGGACCCGAGCAGGGGGGAAATGGTCAGGGTGAGGGAAGGGAGGGAGCGAGGAGGGGGTAGAGAGTCGAGAGGGGAGCTGAATGCATGGTCGAAGAGAAAGGTCTTGAGACCGGCCTTGAAGGAGGAAAGGGAGGAAGCAAGGCGAAGGCACTGGGGGATGGAGTTCCAGAGCTCAACATCTGAAAATAATATTTCTGAAATTACCACTAAAGACCTTTTCTGACAATATCGTTCTCTTACTTTAACTTTCCTGGGCCTTGGCCATAGCCTTTGGTTTCGAGTTTTCTGTAGAAGTTTCTGAGCTTGGCCTCAAAGTCTCTCTTATAAGGAGCTGGAGCTCGGGCGTTGGCACGTTGGGTACCTGCAAAGAGCAATACGAAAAATCCCTCAGTCCCATTAACAAATCAGCAATTGCCGTATTGGGTTAAAGCATTATCAATTTTCAGTGATCCATCAATTTCCATTAATGGTAAACAGCAGGGGTGTTGCTCTCGTTCTTGGCAATTTCTTCCACTTTTAAAATGTGCAAACAACTCTCTGGTTAGAACGTCAATTACTTCTGATGGATTCATTCATCATCCTTTCTGATTCAGAACACAAGGTAAAAGGTCCCAACCCAAGAATAATCAGCTGTGTGTCTCACAGATGTGCTTCCTTCTTGCAGCTTCAGTGCAGAAGTGATGGATGTCTCCCTACTTCACAGGACAACGATTTCTGTGCTGCTCAGGGGAGGGGGAAAGGGTTGCTGCTTGTGAAGGAAAGATGGGAGAAATGGATAAACATTCTGGTAGGTTTTTTTATATGACTTTGGGTTCAGCGAGTCTCTATGCAGGGCTTTCTCCCAGGAACTAATAATGGGTTGTCTATTATAGGGTAGGTGTGTTTGGTATGAGAAAGTAAGGAAAGAGCAGGCCTGAGGGTCCAAATTAGCCTTTCTAGCTCCATGCAGTCTTACATTCCTATTCCAAACTGGGCTTGTGAAAGTGTGTCTGTGTGAAGGGCTAAAGAAAATAAACTCTCCAGGATTAGATAAGCAAAGTTCATCCCTCTGTGGAAAGTATGTGCACTCCATACCAGACACATGGCGATCTCACATATGTGGAAGTCTCAGTAGTTTGGTTTGATAAACTCAAACAAGGTGATGGGATTCCCCACATGTTAGTCACCCAGCTGACCAAAGAAAATAAAGGAAACACTTAATAATAATAATAATAATCTTTGCATTTGATATAGCGCTTTTCACGTCAGGAGGACGTCCCAAAGCGCTTCACAGAACACACTGTAAGGTGAATTGACTGTATATTTGTGGGCAAACACGGAAGCCAATTGCGCACAGCAATGTCCCACAAGCAGTCGTAGATTGAAAATGACCAATTTATTATTGTTCTATTTTTTGGAGGGATTATTATTAGGCATGTGGAGTAAGGAAACTTGCCCAAGGTTTCGCCCTGCCGGGAATTGAACTCAGGTCTCTCGCTTGCAAAGCGAGTGCTCTAACCACTGAGCTACAGGACTCCATAAAGAGGAAGAACAAAGAGAAAGGGATAAAATACAGTTCTGGGAATCCGCAGTCTATTTCTGCATAATTTGCCCTTTTTTATCATCATTTAATTCTAAGCTAAAGCATCTGTGCAAGTCCATTTTTGAAATGTAACCCTGCTTTGAATGTGAGAAAGAACAAAATGGTAGTTGTCTTGATTCAGTCATTCAGTCCATCAGATATGGACCACACTTTTGATTAACTTTATAACTGGCCTTTGAAATGATCCTTTGGCATATCCCATGGCATATGTCTTGCCAAATTTCTACATCACCCCATCTCTTTTTTTATAATCAACCTGCTCTTCTGTGGTTATTTGATCGATTCCCCTTTACACTTTTTTCTATTTCCCCCTTGACATTAATAGCCACCTTAGTGTAAAAGCCCACGTTCCAAATATCAGAAGCACAAGCAGCAAATGGATGCAATAATTGAAGGGTACCAAGTACCGCCCGCTACAGACCTAACGTCAGTCTATAATGATCCACATTAATACAATACTCTAGTTTGAATGCCCACAGATGAGTCGCTTACAAACATTTGCATAATTCTATAACATTTCCATTCTCTTCACTGCATGGTGTGAACATTAGCCATCATTTACCTGGGGAGTTCTGAGGTGAAGATACAGGGGAGCCACGTGGAGACTGGCATAAACTGGGATGAAGTAAGGCATGTGGTGGCACATAGGACATAATCTCTTCTTCAAACAAACTGTTCAAGACAGAAGCCGTACAGATCATTACTTTTAAAATTCATTCTTTACTTTGTCATTATTTGTGCTTTCCAATCAGGTATCACATTATTTCAGAGGCAAAGTCTGCTTATGCAGCTAAAAATTCTTGCAATCGCCCCAATGTTTCATTTTCTCTTTCTTTATCTTACAAGTTGGTGTTACACTGTTGTCTCTCTATGACATGCTTTTATTTGCAGGTAATAAACATCCACTGCTAGTCTGAGAGACAGGAATGCCAACACTACAAATGGTTCTGTGCTATGAAGGATGAAAAAAGTATGGACCACGTTTATAAGTGTTGGCATGCCCTCAGGAATTACCTTATGACAGTGTGCATTAGATCAAGAGTGCAAGAGATTATAGGCTCACGTTCACATTCCACCACTACACTGTGCCTCAATGATCCTTTCAAACATCCTATGTCTAAAAACTAGGCAAAACAAAACAGCTAGATGGACCTATATTGCCCAATAGCCATGTTATCATATTAACAAATGTAAAGCCATATGTAGAGCACACAAACATGCACAGCAACTATTCTGCGTCATATATTAGTGTAAAGCAATGACGACACCTACCTTAACAGCATAACAAGATCTGCATCACTGGATAATCGCCCCAGTCCACTCGTTCCCTCACTTCGGATAAACTGAATCTTCTCCCTGGGCAAAGGTCCAAATAATCTGATAATGTCCCCAGAGAACAAGGACACAATGTACAACATGCAAACCCCAAACAGCACGGGGTAGAGGAGGTAGAGCTCTGCAGCGATCACAGATGTTGCTAACATCATTCCATTTCAAGTCATTCAATCCAGCGTCTGCTATGCTCTCTGTCAAGGGAAGGCTTGATGCTGCTTCTGTTCACTGGTGCCCTTGCTGCTCTCGGCAGCTGACCAACGAGATGATCAATTTCAGAGCGTTGGTGCCAGACCTGGTACTGAATTCTAATCACCAGCACCCGTAGCAGGTTAGGATGTCACTGGTCTAAGCTTCCATCATTAAGCTGGTTGTGGCACCACAACAGCTTCACAACCCCAGGCTTATTTTTAAATCAGAACGAGGACCGCAGTGTGACATTCAATGATGTGGCTTTAACACCTGTCCTCGATACCCGCTGATGCATTGCTTTACCATCACTCTGTCTCTCACCTAGTCAGCTTCCTGTTAATAACACGGCTTAATACAGCAATGCTTCAATCACTGCTGGATTCGAAAACCGATTATGCAGAGTGACAGTTCGCACGATGAACCTCAATGTTACCTTTCCTTCAATGGCCATTATCTATTTCTACCTAGCAGCTAACCTGTTTCAATTGTACATAAGATAGAAATGTCACAATTATGGAAGATTTACCATAGTAAATGCATTCTAATACCTATGCAGGATTTGAGCATTAAGGGTAAAAAGGTTTTACTTTCAGAATAGGCTGATGCATCACTGATGCACAGCAGGTAGTGAATATTGGCACCAATGAAACTAAGCAATGCGATTCAGCAATGTACGGTGAGAGCATTCGACAACAGATGAAGTTTGTAACACCACTTCACGTGACTTCCACCTCAATGACTGTATTGTGTGCGTGACATGCAGCAGCCATTTGTACATAGCAATGTCCCACAAACAGCCATGGAGTGAGTGACCAATTTTATCTGGGGGATTGTTAGCCAGGACACTGGGAGAAACTTCCTTCTCTTTTCGAATAGTGCCTTGGGATGTTTAACGTCCACCTGAATAGGCAGACGGGATCTTGGTTTAATGTCTCATCCAAAGGACAACAATGTAACACAACTGCAGCACTGCATTGGAGTGTTAGCTTAGACGATGTGATTCCAAGTCCTGACGTGGAGCTTGAACCCACAACCTTCTGACTTTAGAGGCGAAAGCACCAACTGTATCAGGCTGACACATGTAAACATACTTAAAGCATCACTGACAGCAGCTCTACTGACTAGGGCCATTGTCATTGTACAGTTACTGTACCATCCTGGTCTATCTAACAAGTATGCTATATTTTAAATAGAATAAAATAATATAAACCCCATGCTCCATCTAGTGGTAGTTGTGTAAGTAGCACAATGCCATAACATGGTTCAGTTTGAATGATACAATTTTTCTAGCAAAGATTAAAGACATACAGATGATGAAATCCAACATGTTCCAAAAGACCAAGTTCTGAAACAGCAAATGGCTTTGACATTCAGTAATTGTAAAAGCTACAAAAACAATATTTTAATCGGGTGAAACAGAAAGAAAACACAGGGATAGCAAAAATCATCGATTTTGCTACAGAAGTTAAGAGTATTTAAATCTGTACTTCTAACACTATTAGAAGCAAGCTCACACTGGTATTCTCTGACTTATAACATGCCGAAAAATCAAAAGACACACAGATGTTCAATAGATGTTTCAACTACTTATATAAACACTGAGGTGGCTGAAAAGTGTGGAAAATGTCAAACAAGCACACGTATACGAAGCAGGAGAATTAATCAGCTTTGCTACAAATGCTAATTCAGGATGCAGTTAAAACATCCCATAATTTCTTGTGTTATTTAGACGTTTAGTCTGGTTGTGAGCGGGCATCTTGGAGAATTCCATTACAGCTTCCCCGAGTAAATGAAGAAATTAAAGCATTGGGACAGCTGTAACAGAGAGGACACACAAACATCACCCAAACAGCACCACAATCAATGGGATTACCTGAGTGAGTGATTCCTGATGAGGTCTGGCTGGCGCTCTTGCAGAATTTCAATGATGTTTGGTTGACGCAGAAATGCTACAATTTTATCATTGTAAGCTGAAAAGAACAGAGTCTCTCATCAGAAGAGGGCACATTAAGAGAATACTGAACTTATCTTTACCAAGGAGCAGACAAAATAACAACACGTGGAGAATTATTCTTCGTAATTACAAACCGTTCGACTTTTCATCCTGCTGGTAACATACTGTAATGTATTTGTTTAACAAACCACTTAAACCTTTATGGTCGGCTGAAAAAAAATAAACCTTGATTGAATATTTCTTGATTTTATGCTTTAAATCAAGAAATATTTAATCAAGAAAAAAACTGAAACCATGTACTGATCGAACACGGACTTACCTACTTACCTAGAGTCACGTGAATGTTTGGGGGAGCTCTCTGTGACAGCCCTGGGGGCCACTTTTGGCCCTTGGGCCACAGGTTGCCACTACTACACTAAACAATTCACCAATGAAGGGCAAAGGAACAGCTTACCCACTGGCACTACATCCGGGTACTGGTTTCGACCGATGGTGCTGAACGTACTGGATGGCCTGGGCAAAATGGGGGGCCCTGGATGGCGAGAGTCTTCTACCACCTGCCAAAAACAGTCAGTCTTTCAGAGGAAAGGAACCAGAAAGTCCGTGTACAGCAGTAAGATCTTAACCAACAGCTAAAAGTACAACAAGGATTTAATAAAGATTGAACTTGTATGTTCCCAGGTTCAAGTGCTTGGACTGTGTTAGCCTCTTTTGCCTCCCCCCCAAACTTATCTCTACAGAAGAACTGTGCCTGGTGTGTGTAAATGCAGCTTAAAATGTGCATGTTGCAAACAATAATGGAAATATCTATCTATCTATACATATATATATACACAAATGCGCACACACACACACATATATGATATATATAATAGAACACAGGGGTCTCATCTTAAATTACACACACAGCACGCTGTTTTTAGTTACCCTGCATCTTCATTCGCGTTTACTGAGAGAGTCAGTAAAGATCTGAAAGCAATACACCTTAATTATAACAAGCAAAAAAAGCATTCGAACAGTTAAAAGTACTTTATTATATTTAATTGGGTTGATATAATGACTAGGTCTTTAATATTAGCTCTACCGCAAATGCTTGTTCATCCAAATTACTAGTGGCCACGTAAACACCACTGCCATCACCTACCTCCCCAGCACTGTGGCTCCGTTGCCTTTGCAGGTGCTGTCGATGTGCCAAAGCACTTGAGGGCCTGGCGGTCTGAAGAGGAAGCCGCGGGTCTGTGAAAGTGGTGCTGCGGGAGTTATGATCAACAAAAAAGGACTGGAAGAGGACAACATGAAGTGAGGACCACACAAAGCAAGAGCATTCCTTCTTCTCGACTCCTCCTCCAGGCTCACTCCACAAATCCATCGATGTCCAAGCTTTCAGTTCCTGCACGCCTAACCTCTGGAACTCACTCCCTCTACCACTCAGTCTCACCTCCACTCTTTCTGTCTTTAAGTCCCAAATCCTACCACTTTGAACTTGCTTATTGCCACCGTCCCCCTTCTCAGCATCTAAGCCCACTCTGTAAAGCGCTCCAAGATGTTATCCTAAGAGGCCGCTACATAAATACAACAGCAACAACAGCAACTTGCATTTATATAGCTCCCTTCACAAGGGGCAGCATCTCGGAGAGCTCGATGTGTAAATACGCTTATATAAATACAAGTTGTTGTTGTTCAGAAAGCTCCAAGGCAAGAAGTTATGACTAGAGCGGGAGTGTACTTCTATTCCATGTTAAGAGTCCAACTCACCTTTCCCTGATGGTCGTGTTTCATTTCCCAGCCTCTAGGGAGTTCCAGCTGTTTATTAGCAAATATGTTCAAGAATGCCACCAGGTCTCGGTTATGCTGGTAGCGCTCATAATTATGGGCATCCCTCCTCACTTTGGTGATCATGTGTTTCAAGCACGTGTTGTTTGTAAACATTCGGTAGGCACTCTTGGGGGCGAAAAAAAGAGCAATCCCATTTGTAACAATTCAGAATTATTAACACAGCAACCTTTTGAATATATATATATATATATATATATACAGAGGTATTACTAAAATACATGGGCTATAAATACGAGAGATGGTGCAACCGTACAGGTGGAATTAGCCACCGTTCTCTAAATAGGCAGTTATGACTGAAAGAGTAAAACTTTAAACAGAACAGCTATCTTACAGGGTTTGAATGCAGCACTGTGAAGAATTCTGGGCTGGTGAAGAATTTGACAGGAGGAGACTGTAACAGTAAGTTCATCCGGGAGCGGGAGGCAGAATGAGACAGTGTAGACTCTCTTCGGAAATCTGTTGCCAGAACACGAGGAACAAGAAAAAGAAAGTGTTATTAACTCTGTGTCGTGTCTCAAACTGGGCCCATTGTCTCTTAGTCTGTGATCATTGTGTCCTCCCGACGTGAAAGGCGCTATACAAATGTAATTTAGTAAGTATTGAGTCTGAAACAGAGAGCACTATTCACAGGCATTGTTCGGAGTTTCACCTTAGCAACCAGTGATGAACTTTATTTAGCTTTCTGAACCCCTGGTGATCCCTGTTATAACTCGCGATTCAAAAGAGCAACCAGTGAATAATCTGTGCTGTACAGAGGAGTGTGATGTTGACAGTCATTCCAAGAGACTCTGTTCAATGTCATGACTCGACAACAGCATATCAAAAAAAATAGGTTTGCACAAATGTAAACAGCTTACAGAAATTTTTTGTTAAATATTCACTGGAACACATTAAGCGCTCTAGGATGCTAGCCCATGTGTGGGCCGCAAGTTGCTAATAATAACAATAATAATAATAATTATTGCATTTAATATAGCACTTTTCACGTCTTCTAGACGTCTCAAAGCCCTTCACCGAATATACTGTAAAGTGAATTGACTGCATATTTTATGGGCGAAATGCAGCAGCCGATTGCGCACAGCAGTGTCCCACAAACAGTCGTTTGTGCTCTAACCACTGAGTTGTTGTTGTCGGATCCAAGTTGCAGGAAAGCAGTGGAAAAAGTGGGAATCTCAATTGTCCATCAATTTCAATAATCTGCCAGTATACTCACTGTTATGCAGATATTCCAGGTTCTACTGCATCATTATTACTATTCTTGCTCCCACTTTCTTATTATGCTATTGTGCTTTTCTTCCTTCTTCCAAAACAAACCTGGACACACAGTGAAGAATGAAGGAAATATACTCTCATGGTCACACTAGCAACACTTGTACCTGTAGTGGAATGACCAAGGTCAATTTCATCTGCGGCCCCTGCATCTACTCCACTGGCTTGGCCAGTATCCTCGGGCCTCTCATTGGTCATTGTCCGTCGAATACTCTGATACCTGATAAGAGATGAAAGGGAGTCTTGTGAAATTTTTATGAGATTTAAAGATAAATTGTCATCTCTTCAAAATAGCACTCGGTAGAAGTGTGGGGTGCTTTACTTTGCATACAGGATGCACAAATGTAATCAATAGCAATTTAAAACACAACTGAGGATGAGCGACCATTCAGGCTATTAATTTTATTGGCATCTGCATAAACAACCTATACAGCATCCCGACAAGAAACGGGAACGTCACAGATAGGTTAAGACAGTAACTTCCGAGGTTAAGGTGAGTCCAGGTCGAGTGGGGAGTAGGTAGATTTCTATACTAAAGTTCAAATCATGTTGAATTGAAATCATACAGAGATTTATCTGAAACAGACCTTCTGAACTGCACAAGGACAACATTACACTGAATATCAGAGGCACTGACGAAATCTCTTGGCTAAGTATTGTATTTGCACTGCCAACATGTGCTGATTGAACACGATGACACAACTCTTGGCACCACATGCTTCTCTCTTATCCCATTATGCAAGTCACTTTCTGGCTGTTATTTCCAAGTCAGGTTTGAGCCAGCCATAGTTAGCTTCAACTTGGAGGGGGGACGAGGAAAGAAACTCTGCTTGTCCTGTGTTTCGGACTATTCGCTTTACCTTCTGTTCAGCTGCTCCATCTGTTGAATTGAATTGGAGCGCTGGAGACTTTGTTGGGAGGCCGGAGCTGTGGGCCGCTGCCAAGTGGTGGTTCGGTTCACATGGTCCACGTAAAAGATTCGACCGTGGCTATCAATCCGAGCTTCCCAATCTATCAGGGGGAAAAAATCCACTTAAAACCCAATTGAGGAAAACTGACCGTTCATGCTATTTTTTTTATTTGCATCTGCATCAACAACCTACACAACAGCATCCTGACAAGAAAGAAGAAGGGGCCTGGTTACAACAGTGAATCGGAGATTAAAAGCACGCCACAATTCAGTTGATGATAGGGTTGGACGCTCAGAAACGTGGCTTCACTCAATGTGAATTGAATTGGAATCGCTCCTGTGAACCAAAGTTTCACCTCAACATCCACCAACTTACTACTTAATGTCTGATTGCTCATCCTAACCCAAGATCCCCCCTGTGGAGGCAAAAGTACAAGAGGTATCAGAAGAAAGGCAGCAGTTGTAGGTTAAAATACTTAAACGTACCATCTTTAGAAGGCTGATCACTGGGCAATTTCCTGAAATAAAGTTCTCAAAACTTCGTACTCACGAAGGGCCAAAAGGGGACATGGGAATGTACACAGCTTTGTGGCACACACAGCCATCCTGATTAATTGGGAACTGTTGCTTGTTTCACATTTCAGGCTTGAAAACAAGCATTTTTTTTACAGCGATTTATTTTTCACCTCGAAGCGAACTGCTGGGATATCCCATGATTGTACCTAAGGGCTGCGAATGACAGCCTATTCCATCTATACTGACAGGTGTGGCTCCCACACCTTATATTATGTGGAGTAATTAACTCTTAAGCAGCAGTTTTGCTGAATAACAGCTCACGTGTATACGAAGCCTGAAGTAACTCACAATTTCCAAAGTTACTTATCAACCAATGAACCACATCACCCCATAACTTATCCTGTCCTCGACGAGTGTCCAGACAAAGAGACACACACAGAGAATAAAGATTGCTGGACAATAATTAAGAACAGGCAATCTAGCCAACCTTCCTCCTCTCTAGCCCAAGATGATTTTGGCCAAAGAGACCAGACTTGTGACGACTGCACAGTGCCACAGCAGATTGAAGGTGATAGATCCTTACTGGGTGGTAATGGTTCATCTATCCGCTGATAACGGGTAACATCCTGCCGCACTGAGGGCAGAGACCTCAAGGGCTGGTGGGTGCTTGATGGAGAATCTAAATCGTAAAAAAACATAAAATGTTTAGCAACGTCCTGCTGCAGAAATTAAATCAATATCTGACCGCATGTTACAATGAAATTAAATTGGCAAAAAAAAACAAGAGGGGAGTCGAGAAGAATTTTTTTAAAAACCCAGTGAGTTGTAACGAGTTGGAATACACTGCCTGAATGGTCGGTGGAAGCAGATTTGACAGTAGCTTTCAAAAGAGAATTGGATAGGTAGTTGAAGAGGTAACGAATGCAAGGCTATGGGCTAAGAGCGGGGTAGTGGGACTAGTTGATAACTCTTTCAAAGAGCCAGCACAGGCATGATGGACCGAATGACCTCCTTCTGTGCTGTAATATTCTACGAAACACAAATGTACTTTTACGAAGCGCTTTTCACATCGGGAGGAGGTCCCGAGGTGCTTGACGATGTCTATTGAATATCAGCGGACTTAGTGTCCTACTCAGCCATAATTGGCCCTGCACGAGGTTCAGAAAGATTTACCTGGATTGTTGTCTTCAGCCTGGCCAGTTGCCTCACTCGCCTCCTCTGCAATGGCCTGGACAGCCACAGGTTCTTCTTCCTCCTGTGGTGTAGCCCCCTCTTCCTCTGCTGCAGCCGCGGCCTCCAGGCTCCTCCTCCGCTGCCAAATGTCTTCGACCTCCTGTCCGCAAGCCACTGTTTCTGCTTCAGTGGCTGCTGCCTCCTCCTCCTCCTGCTGCTGCCGCTGCTGCTCCCCATTACCGTCTACGCTTTCTTCGCCCGCTGCTGGGGTGACGTCCGTAGCTTCCCCACCCTGATCTTCTGCCACCGCATCAGCCGCCAGGTCAGCCGGGCTGGTGCCATCTTCCTCCTCCTGAGAAGAGAATGCTGGCGTCTCAGAGAACCGGGCACTCTCGAAGGAGGAAAAGCGAGTGGTGCTCTCTACCGACGACGAGACCCTGGTCGCGTTGCCGTTCCCATTGCAGGAGCTGTCGGCCCCTTCAGCATCGCTCTCACCCTCTGGCTTCGTGCTGGCCTCGCTGACACTCTCCGTACGTGTGGTGTCGCTCTGCTCGTTCTCCGAGGAGAGTTGGGATGGTTCGGAGGTTTGATCCACTGATTCTGCTTGCGTAAGCGACCCTCTTCCTTCACCGCGTCCCGTATCCGCCTCTTGTTCAACCGCAGCACTAGGAGCCTCCTGAACTGCTTCACTCTCTTCATTGCTGACAGTCGCTGTGTCCACACCATCATTAGTTTGAGTCTCTCGATTGATCTGTTCCTCCTCCTCCTCCTCCTGCCCCTCCTGCTCATCTGCCTCCTGTCCCGTTGTTGGAAGACCATGGAGCAACTGGTGAAAACTCTTGTAGGGAGAGTCGGGGATCTGTGCTTGCGATAGCTCTGAGGTTGCGATCTCTTCGATTGCCGTCAGACGTGTCTGTGAATCAGAAGAACCTCGAAACCCAGGTGGGTCCCCATCATTGTTTTGCCTAGTGTCCAAGTATTCATTGCTGTAGCTGCCAGCAGCACAGATAATCTGGATGCCATTCTCTGGGCTTTCGTCCGACCCATGAAAACTATAAGCCAATTCTTGACGAAGATCATGGTCCTCTTCATCGGAGTCAATATGAAGCATGGCATTGAGCCGGGTGTCCGTGGGGAAACTGCTTCGCAGTTTGGGAGATGCCCCGAGGTGATGCAAGCTCGCTTCAGCCAAACTAGGCTTCGTATTTTCGTGACCAGAAATTCCATCAAGATAGTCATTCAGGGATTCCTGCCGACTAGTCAGACATCTTGCCGGAGATGCCGTTATCATCACAGGTTCACTTTGCACCGAATATTGCCTTTCCATTGCACCTCTGATTTCTCCCGTTACGGTGGGAATAATCAAGACCCCATGTTCGTTCCTGACACTGTCCTCCTGTACATGTCCATTCGCAAAGTCCTGCATTTGGTCAACTGAGGCTCCTTCAGCTGGCATGTCTTCATCATCAGACGGACTGCCCAAATCCCCATTTATAGCATTCGCTTCTAGATAGGCACCCACTGTCTCAGGGGATGCGTCTGTGGGAACAAAGCATATAGGTTTGTTTTACGCACATGCTTGTTACTGCTATTACTGTTCACTAACTCACTGAACTTAAACAAAACAAAACCTCCTCTGCAATGTTGGCAGTTGAAGATGACAAGAGACCACAAGGAGATATACAGTATTATAATAATAATAATAATCCTTGCATTTGATATAGCGCTTTTCATGTCGGGAGGACGTCCCAAAGTGCTTCACAGAACACACTGTAAAGTGAATTGACTGTATATTTGTGGGTGAACGCGGCAGCCAATTGCGCACAGCAATGTCCCACAAACAGTCGTAGATTGAAAATGACCAATTTATTATTGTTGTATTGGCACAAGAATATACCCCCCTTAACCAAAGGCCTTTATAATATACAAGTCTTTTTTCTGCATAATACTTAACATAATGTTCAGTAAGCAATACATCTAGGCATTCACTCCAGCTGCTGAATTCCACTAAAAAGTAAACGTATGAACTCCACATCCTCATATTAGCCATGATTTCTTGTTTCAGGGCCTTAGAATATCAGGTGAAGCATCATGATGGAGTCATTCCTATTTTGTTATCCTGTGTGGCTATGACTCCCCCTACCTGAATCTCTGGGAGGAAAAAAGCGAAAGAAGTCCACATTGTCTGATACTCACTTAGTCTTTTTGTACTTTCCCTTAATAAGCAGAAAATACATTTTCTTGATTAAATATTTCTCGATTTATGCCATGGGGATAATCGAGAAATATTCAATCGAGAAAAAACTGAAAACAGACGACATACAAATGTCGAGGATGGGGGGTTGGGAGGGGGCTTCACAGAATATACTGTAAAGTGTAGTTAGTGACTGTGTTTTGTAGGTGATTGCAATAAACCAATCTGCGCACGGCAAATTGAATAATAGGTAACCTGTTTGTATATTTTTTATTTACCTTCATGGACAGATAAAGTGATTTCCACTCTGAACTGGAGTTGACCACTAACATGGTCAGTAGGAAGCCTTCTGCACAGGTTATAGGTTAATATCTGGTCACTGCAACAAGGAAACACGCAACACAGTTAAAAGACCCTCGAACATGTTCAATGTGTCACAACACAAGTAAGCATTGCAAGCCATCAATTTAAGCAGCAGTACATTATCAAATTAAAATTTCCACTGTCTGACTCTTTTCCCATTTCTTATGGTAAAAATCTAGTTTGGTTTTAGGATTCCTCAACTCAGACATATAACCACTGCACAAACTCCTCCACGCATATGTGGACAAACACACAGTCCCTCTCCATGCACACACACAATTCCCTCTGTGCACATACATGTGCTCTCACACTCTCTCCCATACACACACACTCACATATTCACTATCCCCTTCCACATACGCAAACACACACACAAACCGCACATACAATTCTTGTCTGCACACACACAACCCACCATTCACACACACCTCTGCACCTGCAAAATACCCTCCACCAACACCAGGGATTGGGAAATAGCCACTCTGCACATCGCTGCACTGTTAATATATATTTTTCATTCTGAAAGAGCACCAATTGAGAAAGGAACAGATATTATTATTATTATAATAGGCGCAGATCACACAGTGGGTGCTATTTTAGTGAATTACACACCCATGTCACAACATTTAAAACATACGCTTCCACTTGGATTTGTGAATAAAAGAGAAGAGGGTCAGCCAATAATTTATATACTTTCCAGGTTTGTAGACTTATAAACAAAGTAGCTCTCGTTCTGTTTACACTGAATCTATATGGCTGACTTCACTCACAAGTGTGACTAAATTGCTCCTTCTATGTCCCAGACAAGAGACACAGAGACTATGTGGATTGATTATTGTCCTTTGGTAGAACAAGCCAACTTAGTATAATAATAATTCTTGCATTTGATATAGCGCCTTCTCACATCGTCAAGACTCTCAAAGCGTTTCACAGGATATTCTGTACAATGGGTTTAACTGTGTATTTTGTGGGCGACATAACTATACATTTAAATAACTCTGAGGTATTAAAGAAAATTTACTTTTGTTTTTTGTGCAAAGATGCAGTACTGTATATAACCAACAGGGTGTGCGTCTGCTCCAGATAAACAGCTGGAGGAGCTAAACTCCTGAACACATAAAATAAAATTCCCCACCCTCTCAGCATCCACAGTCAAGGGCACATCTTCTCAACTAATCCTCATAGTCTCCTGATTCAAGAAACAATTCCCCACGTATCCTCTGGCAAAAGGAAGAGACAAGGCAAAAGGATACAAGAGAAAAAGAAGTGCGAAGGGATAAATCGAACTTCCTAAGGTTTCCCTGAACTAGTTTTGAAGTGAAGCTATCCCTTTTTTGTGACCGACAATCGTGCCGTGTGCTGAGCATGCATAGGGGAGGTTTAGCAAGTCCAACATTATCCAAGCAGTAATGCTCATGTACCACAGAAGATTATACTGGCAATTTCAATGAATGCAGAAGAAAATTCACCAGCAATTCGGAATCAGCACGTCTGAGAATGAAGCATTAGAGCCTGATGTTTAATGTTCCCTGCCTCCATTCACAACTCTCAGGTGCATGGAGTTACAGCACAGTACCATGGCAACATTTTTAACTCTTACGCAATAAATGACCAGATTCAGCATTTTTAACTCAGCATTCGGGGTCAAACACACGGAAAACAAAGTGTTTCTAAACAGACTATTGGCATAGAAAAGAAATGAAACACAGAGAACGAGGACAGAAAAAGTTGCTGTGAAGTTCGAGAATCTTTTACCCAATAGCATGTCTCTCCAACAAGCGCTGGACTGGTATGGTGAGTTTACCCAGGAAACGTTTTATGATAGGGCGACTCTTGGCAAACTTGTCTTTAACGTCTATCTCAAGTACGTCTGTGAGAAGGGCCACAAAAGAGTATTTCTGCAAAAATAATAAATATCTGTCACATTAATCCAGCCTGACGTTCATGGGAAACGTTTTGTTTGCCGTTACAGATTTCCTTCAGGAAATAACAGTTCTGGGTCTTTGATAGCGCTGCATTTTACCTCTCCTTGCCAAATGGGATTGGTTGTGTTGGCCACAATCGTTGACCTCTTCTCTTGTCCGTGATGAGCAAAAGTAGGGAAAGTGCTCTTTTTCCCAGGCTGAATGGACATTTTCAGATATGGATCAGGATTGAAAAACATTCCCTTCTTCAGCCCCAGAGCTCTGATATCTATTTACAAGGGGGAGAATCAGTTGAACGAGAGTTAGATGCTATCAGAGTCACATTTCAAAGAGTACTTGATGGAAAGTGGCTCTAGGTCAATCATCTTGGTTAAAACAAGGCACAATCTCAGAAACACTGGGTAGCTCACCTGATAATGCGAAACTGACAAGTTTTCTGCTGTTTTGACCATCTACCGCCCCTTCCCCCAGTTCATCTGCCCCAGCCTAAGTTTAATAAAAAGCAAGCAATCAACATTGTTCTTGGTTAAGAATGGCTCATAATCTATCATTGTGTCACTGGATAAAGGTCAGAGCTAATTTGCAATCTATTTTTGGGACGTCCTCCCGACTTGAAAGGTGCTATACAAACGTAATATTTCATTATATTCATTATATTCAATCGAACAATGGAGAACGTACAAAAAAAAAGTTGCAAGATAAGGGGAAGAAATTCCACCTGCCTCTTGATCGACTCTTTAGAGCATTTCAGAACATCGATAATTTGTTCAATTGTTGAATTGAATCATAATATGAAAACTGTTTTTTCTGGCTCTTAACTTACCAAACGCCAGATTCAAAATTAAGATTGTACTTAAGAATTTGCCGTTATCTGGATGCTCAAAAATTCTGCATAAATTTAGTAAATAGACTGATTTTTTTTTATCCCTATTCATCTTAATTTTCTAAACCAATCTCTTATTTGGCACTTTATCAAATGCCTTCTGAAAATCCATATGTAAAACATTACAAGTACAAATTTAGTCGTAAATAATGCACTTCTAGAACAGCAGAAAACAGGAAAAATAATAGGAAATTAGAAAAACATATAAAATTGTTCTTTACTGATGAATCACAAAAAGATTAGATGAGTTTAAAATTCAGTGCACACACACACACACACACAAACATACACACACACACCCACAAAAGTATGTCTGCATGAAGGAAATGGCATGTTTGATATACAAAAACTCTCTTCCTGTGTTACAAAGTAATAAAATCACACCCAGCAACTTCAATCCTGGCAAGCGCTCAGAATTATAAGGTTGCGTTCACTTTTTCCTGTTTATAAAATACTTTATTACTTAATAGGCACTTTTTTCTAAGAAATCAGTCACTAACTTTTTCCACTCCTGCCTTCATTCCAGCACAATTCTGCTCAGTGATTTAGACATGTTGCGTGTTTGTTGTAAAGGCGAAAGCTGAAAAGGTCAGCCACACTCTTTTCGCTCAGGGCCTGAATACCTCCACAGGATGAGCTACCAGAAGACTGCTGGTGCCTACGAAACTATACATTCAGGCCAGTCAGCATCTTCAAGATAGGATTTGGTGGGGGTGGGGGGGGGGGAAGAGAATCTTTTGTGAATTTCACTAGTGACCATCTGTGTTTAATGCTTAAATGAACCTTTATACCATATTTATGTGGAGTATAAACACCAGCACAAATGGTGACTCAAGGGTATCAATTTACAATAGCAAATGCGCAAATGGTTTGGCAAAAGATTAGGAGAATTTTTTCCACAAGCAGAGTTATTAGGGATATGGAACGCCTTTCCGGGAGTGGAATGGCTTTTAACTGACTTTCAAAAGGGAACTCAATGAATCAAATGCAGTGGTGTGGGGAAACAGCAGGTAAATGAATTGAAAGGATGGCTCTTGAAGTAGCCGGTACAGACATAATGGACCGATTGGCTTTCTCCTGTGCTGTAAATTTTTACGGTTGTAAAGGGCTGTATCCATGTCTTGTTATTGTATGTAATTCTACATACCTTCTGAAATAACCTGATGTAATGGTACAGATTAAGGTGAATGCAGGTTTCAGCCAGTTTCCATATGCGGAGCACAGAAGTAACAACAAAGATATTTACACGTGCAACAAATGTTCCACTTACCATGGAAGCTGGGTTTTTCACAGTAATGCATGGAGTAGTAGCTCGCAGTGCTCCATTTACACCGTGATAGTACTTAAAGCAGATTTTAGTTTCAGCTGAGGAACAGAAACAAATACAAAATGAATGAATTCTGCAATAAAATGATTGCACCAAAAGTAATGAAAAAATAATGTTTATATATAGCCTGAGTGAATGGAAGGTTATTAAAAGTAACAAACATGCACTTTCTGATGCTGGATTTACATTACAGAATAATTAACCATCATCGCTTCCTGCAGTTGAGAGTTTCTGAGCGGAAAACAGGATTTATACTTCCCATTCCAAAATTGCTTGCTCTCGTTGGGGACTGAAGACAGAGTTCTGTTGCTACTCATCTCCAAGAACTTTATAATGCAATTATTTTTGCAACTTTATAAATCAGTTGCAGGACAAGCCAGAATTATTCCGTTACTAGTCATCAATTCCATTTCTGAAACTCATGAAGAGCTGGGAATCAAATCAGTGCTGTTCAAAACTGGTTTACTTTATACCTTATAGTGCAAATCCCTCAGCTTAATACAACAAAACACGGACATTGTCTTTAAATTCCGAGACCAATTCCTGGTAGTCTCACTGGATGTAAAGTTTGTAATAATAATAATAATCCTTACATTTGATATGGTGGCTTTCAATTCGGGAGGATGTATCCAAGCACTTCACAGTATTTAGCGTAAAGTGTTGTGGCTGTGTTTTTTGTAGCCGGACGCCTACAGTGTACTCCTAGAGCACAGCATTTCTCACTATCACACTGTACTACCAGCACATTTTACTGTAGTGGTCTCAAGCTAAATATTTCTTCTCAATTCTGATTCACTGGTGAAATTAACAGTATTCGGTGTTGGCATAGTCATAGCCAATTTAGTCCTTAATCCCCATTCAGCCACGCCTGAAGGAGCCACAAGGGATGCAAATAACATGACTGAGCATATCATAGTCCCTTCTGCATGTGCTGAATCTCTATGTCACACCTTATTGATCTATATTTGTAGCAGAACGCCTACAAAATACACGGTCGCTACCCTAAATCCCGTGAAGTGCTTGGAGTCAGCTTCATGCCAAGAAAGGTGCTCGACCAAATACAAGGAGTCTTAAGACAATGGACAATTTATTGCTTACTATACAGTTGCAAAATAATTCAAGATGGTATGCTTTTGCTGTCTCCTCCTTGATGGGACCGCATTTGGGGATTGTGCAAGGAACAAGAGGAGTGTAAATCTAATAAATAAATCATTTGAATTGGGGGAGTAAAAGCCTTTTAAAAATACAATCAGTTCTCCAAATCCACGATCATGACAATCTCCAATTATTCATAGTATCCCAAGAATTGTAGAATGTTATAGCACAGAAGAAGGCCATTTGGTCCATCGTGCCTGTGCCAGCTCTTTGAAAGAGCTACCAACTACTCCCACTCCTCTGCTCTTATCGCATAACCCTGCAAATGTTTCCTTTGCAAGTCTGCCCCAGAAGATAAAATTACTAAAATGTTATTAAATCATAACATTAAAGTAGGGTATTACTAAAACCCCATTAATTGGGCAGCTTGTCACAGTGCACTGATAAAAGCCTGGATGAGGAATGGGCTCTCTCAGGCATGGGGCTGGGGGACAGTGTAGTGTGGGAGCCAAGTGCTGCCCCATAGTACGGGAAGGAAAGTCTTCTCTTTAGCTTTCATGGTTTTATTTGAGCCAGTTACAAAGTGCTATTAGCAGAGGCCTGGCAACAGTCTGGAAATGATTAAACAAGGCAGAGAAACAATACAAACAAAAAAATAAAACAAGGAGTTGACTGAAACCATGTTTATTCATTGTTCGGGTTCATCCTTCATAATGTTAGCTCCCTGTCCCAAAAGAGCTGTCACACCTGATCACATTGCACTGAACCCACCGTTGGACAAAATAGCTCTGATGCTAATAGCACTAAGTAACGGATTTGTCCCAATTGGATTTTGACCGACAATCCCTCTTACATTGAAGAAATGTGTCAAAGAGTTGGAGGGGAAAATGCCTGGAACCAATTCACAATCATCACACAGAACACAAACTGACAAGCTTTCATCGTTTCACTGTCACAGACTATCTCAATCATTGAGCTTGTTCCTCCCCGTTGCTTTCTTACTTTTTTTTAAAAGCAGTTGCCTTTCCAGCTCCCAAAGCAGGGAAAGTCCAATTAAATCTATTAGTTTGGAAAGAAAACAGAATTGTGTCACAAGAGATTAGAACTCTTCTCTGTTTGCCAGAGTTCCCCTTAGACTGGCCCAAGCTCAGTTCAATGTAATTCGGGAGAGTTGCCCCTTAGGACATACTCTAGTACGCTGAACTCTCTCATCACTAGGTTTCACTGCATTATTGTCCTAATCCTCTAGGGCGCTAATGCAATGGGATATCCAGGTAAAATTTTCCATCCTGATCTTACCTAAGCCTATAGAGGGAAGTTACAAGATTCAAGACGGGTTATTAAAGCCACAGATTTATGGTATTGCTTGTGATGGAAAAACAGGTAAGAAATTAAACACGATCAGGCTTGTTCTTAATCCTCAGAGGTAATGAAAAGTCAACCCCATCACTTAAAGCGACGGATTAGTATTGGGTTAAGCAGAAGGTATGAGAATTCCCTTTAACACTGCAGAAGTGTGCTCTCTTCAAACCATTATAAAGAGATGTATGATGATAAATCATTACCCTCCATAAAGTAAGGACCGGGCTCAATCCGCCACACAATCTGCCCTTTTTGAGTTCCATTTACACCCCGGTTTTTGGAGTCCCAGACGTTACCTGGGGAGGTCTCATCTGTAGGAGAGAAGAAAAAAAATTGTAAATAACCTAGAACCTTAAATAGTTATCAGGGCCTGTGCCTCATACACAATGCCTAGCTGTTCAAAATATTTTTTGGAAAGGGGAATGATTAATATTTTCTGTTACTATTAATGTCCAAACAGTACAATACAGGTAAACATACCGTGAAAGAGAAATCCAAGTGGAGCATATCCCCTTGTGGTCTCAAATCGTTAATTTTTTTGCATGTGTGTGTGTTATCGAATGACAAACAATACACAACAAAACCACACCTTAGTTATCATCGGCGAATAAATAATACCACAAATCTAACACTCCTGGTATAGTTCAGGCAGAAGGAGAACCGCTGATCCATTCAGCCTGACCAGACAACTGGTGTTGAGGAAAGTGGAGTCAACACCAATACCCTCCGTAGCCAGAGATTGCCTCCGATTGGCCAGATCTGGTTCCAATTTAGTTTGTAAACATATTCTATAAGCTCGTATGTTTCAGCTTGTGCCACAAGAGTACCATAAACTGTCAAAAAAAGGATGTTACACTAGAATAAATAGCTGTTCTCAGTCAGAGGTTCAGCACTCAGCACACCTCAACATTAATAAGATCCTAGTCATTCACGTGTCCATTAATCTAGCTCGTAAACACGGAAGGCATAATAACAAGTGTGTACGTGAATCACTTTCCTCAAAATTTAACAGAGGTCAATTTTATGCATAATGTCATGTAATTACCTCACCTGAACAAAATAAACCTTTAAGCCTCCTAAAATGTTGTGGAAAGTAAATGCGTAAATATGGTTATTTTCAGAGTCAGGCTGCCTTGTCCTGACCTCTGCTACAAAGGGCTCGAGTTTCATTGTGCTTCTGACGCCAGGACACTGCAGTTGGAACGGCTCCAGGACTCAGCCACCTTCTTTCTCACTGCGTCGTCCTCTGTACCCATGGCCAGCGATGAGCACCTTGCATTGCAGCATTAGGGTTGGTTTTCAATGCGCACAGAGTTCATTTGTAGCTTATTTATACCCAGTTTGCATTCATTGGTGCACATTGTGCTGATGACACAAATAAAAATTGAACTTGGCGTTATGTTTCTAATATTGCAGCACTTACTGCTCATTGTGGACCTTGGAGAAATGTATAAATATTCTCTGGAGAACTGGCTTGAAACAGGAGTGCACTGTAGTAAGTTCTAAATGTCTGCCAGCTCAATGGCTTAAGATCATAACCACAGGCATGAGAAGTGGGTGCCTGAATTTTCTGCACTATTTCATTTCCCACCACACCACTGCCAGTGATATCAGGCAATGGTAAATATTCAGTATCTTCAACAAGATTAAAAGTTCAGCTACATATCGTTCCTTGATTTAAAGAAAAAAATACACACAGATTTCATAGAAGGATATTCTCTCAAAAGCAATATGTGAAGTCCCGCTGCATTGAAATGGAAGAAGAAAAATCTAGCTAAAACGAAGCAAATGTATATCAGGATCTGCAACACACAGGACACAAATGATGGGGCTTTTGACTCATAGACCTGTTCTTGGAACGTCACCTTTCAAACATGTAAAAACTCAAAGCCCTTATAAAATTGTAGCCCTGTGCTTTCTTGGTCCGGAGCAATAATTATTCAGGATTTTGACCATGAGAAAGAAGCCAGGGACAGAGAGCATCTACAGCCTGATAATTTGCAACTTGGATATATAGCACGCAACTGGGTATCAGCCAATCCACTCTGCAATCGATTTACTTCGGTCAAGGTCTTCCTCTCTCATGTAATTCTTCATTTTAATTGTTATAACTGGGATTTAATTAATAGAGATTACCTCTTCAGCATGTCGGTTACAGAGCCATAGAGCCCAAAGTTTGTATCAGATATTATCATGATAATCTCTATTTGGTGTTGGTTTAAAAACGTTGCATTTAAAATGAGTTAGGAGAGCAAGACCGGTTCAGATGCAACAGGTTACAGTGAATGTAGAAACCCCTTTGTGATGGCTCATTTGGCAAACGCAATGTTCAGTGTGTAACTGAGCAAAAAAAAGAAATAACCAAGGTTCAATCCCGAGTGTGTGTTGAGTTGGTTAATCTCAGATAGAACAGCTATCGGTTGGGACAGGGGCAGCATTATTAGAAATGTCATTTTTATTATAACCACTCCACGGACACTGGCCTACTCCAGGTCCCCACTCTGCCCGCTCCACCATTGGCGGTCAGGCCTTCAGCTTTTCTGTCCCCACCCTTTGGAACTCCGTCCCACAGTCTCTTTGCCTCGGCCCCACCTTGACACCCCTCGACACCCTCGACATGAGATAAATATGTCTACTCCTAGACCTGAGTCTTTTAATGTGTGCTTCCAAATAGTTTTCGCCGTGCTAGCAGACAGAATTTCTGAACTCGCTCTCTACAAATCTAACCAACCTCTTCTCTCCGGCAACTGGGAGAACCATGATCTGTGTTGTTATGGCGAATTTTGCCCTCCTGCCCCCACCCCCACCCCACTCCAAATCCCACACTGCATTCAACTGCTGAATTCCCCCAACTTCAAGACCTGGAGCAAACGAACCGCACAAAAACATCTCCATCAAGAACTCTGGATAAACAATCTTCCCCCTCAACGTCAGCCTGGCTTGCTTACACAAGGGTAAAATGGTTACACATCAGGTGCCAATACGGGAATTCCTGAAATACCTCTGAGTAAAAGGGTTCATTTATTTCCCACTCTGAGATACACAGACACAACCAAAATATTCCCACACCTTTGACCACCGTGAGGCCTCCCCATCACATCAGCTCGCTCGGCTATGCCAGCAGGGCCAGCTCCTCCACAAGAAACCACTAACCAGGCTCAGTTACAAGTCGGGGGGGAGGTTTGGATCAAGTGAGACAGGCTGTGTACTCTTGCTCTTACGATGGAACATTTCACCCTCTCAAGAAGCTGTGTGTTATGCCCTGCCCAAGAGTACAGAGGACCCTTCTCCCCAAAACAACAACCCATAAATTTGGCTCACCAAACATTGCACAAATTAATGAAACAAACAGATGTCAGATCCACCAGGGCACCATCTATTTAATCCTCTATTCACTATAATTTTAAAAGTCTTAAAAACGACAATACAAGGTGAAGTGAAATTGCTTTCCGAACTAAACATGTTTGTATACAAATCTCAATGAATTTGCAATCTTTATCGTTTCCCAGGATATCTTACAGGCTCCAATATGATGAGATATCATAGAATAAGGTTGAGGGTTTAAGCCCACATGGAACTTTGAGCTCAATGTATAGGCTGACTCCAGCTTGGATGCATAGCCAGCAATATAAAGCACTTTGAGACGTTCTCCAAATTTGAAAAGTGCTATGTGAATATAAAATGTGCGATACTGACACTGCAGTGCAGTGCTATTATTATTATTATTATTATTATTATTATCTCTAATTAGAACATCATACGTATAATCACTGGCTCGGCCAAATGCACAAATTCATAGCTACATAATAATACACTCGGACTGTGAAAGTTAATTACGCCCTGGAAATTTGTACCTATACAAGCAATGACCCAGTTTAATGTCCTGCTTCAAGAAAACATTGGTTGACATCCCCAAGCAATTTTTAACTAATTTTTGGACCCACTGACACAAAAAACATCAAGCTTAGATGTAGGAAAATTAAATGTCACTTACGTAATCCATTACATGGTGGACGTCAGTGCTATGAATAGTTATGAGAACGTACTCTCAGATAACAACTCCAAGCCCATTTATAACGCACCTAAAAATGCCTAATTTTGGTAGGTCCCCATCTTCACTTAACTGGGATTTCGCTCACCACCGCAGCAGGGGCATGTTTTCTCTTGTGCACTTCAGCAAAGTGCAATAAAGAGAAACTTTCCAATTCTTTTACCTTGCAAAAACATTATCTTTCTCAAAGAAACATCTTCTAAGATCCCCCGTGCTTCCGTTCCTTAATTCACTCAGAGCCGTCAGGAAGAATACACATCAATAAAATCAAGGAACTGAAATGTAAACGAAAAAAAGGACTCAAACAAAAACTTCCAGTGGCTTGAATCAGGACCTGAGCTCCATCAATACATCTGAAGGAAAAGCGCATGAAGCACATTTCACTGCAAGTGACTTTGCAAATTTCCCACACGGGTTCACAGGATACAATAGCGCCTTCCTACAGAGCTTCCTTCCTCTCTGGGTTTCCATGCATGGTATATTCCCAATAAGGAGCTCATGTGTGTTATCCCAGGTCTATAAACCAAGGCATCCTCTTTAAATCTATGCAGTATCAAGTTTGCTAGAAAGGCGATGGGCGAAAAAGAAGAATGTTAATAAACTCCTTTCGGAGACGGCCTGCACTAGTGATATCGCCCCACTGTGCAGTTGTTTCAGAAGTACATTATTAAGATTCTCTGCACATTTTTTTTTATTCAATAAGGAATAAAGTGTTCTTATTTCAGCCTGAAAATGTTTAAATCGAAGAGCTACTGAACTAGCAGGAAGGATTCAAAACTAATAACACCCCATGAAAAGCAAGCACAAGCACTACTGACGGGGCTCAACAGCAATACATCTGATTCACAATCAGTTGTATATTGGTTAGAGCACTCGTTTCGCAAGCAAGAAGACCTGAGTTTGAGTTTCTGAGCAAGTTTCCTTAGTCCACGCGCCTAGCAGCAATAATTGGGAACCCAGTTGTTGGTCGATTGCCTTTCCGGGGGTAATAATCTCTCAAAATAATAATAATAGTAGATTCGTCACTCAATCCACAACTGTTTGTGGGACACCGCTGTGCAAGTTGGTTGCCAAGTGTCGCCTACAAAATATACAGTCAATTCACTTTACAATGTATTCTATGAAGCGCTTTGAGACATGATAAGGTGCTATATTAAATGCAAGGATTAAAGATACCTCACATGCATCTTTTGGGACCATGGTATGTGCCTAACCGCGACTATCCTTGAGTTACTAATGGGATGAGTACATTAGTGCTCC